GCTACTGTAAAGCAAAGCTATATAATCTAGGCAAGACTAGGATGGTTAAAAATGACTGTGGGATTATAAATGTTTACAGTCCTATCTGTGAAGCTGGAGTACAGCCAGTTCTGAATGCTAACGGAGAACAAAGAGAATAGCAGGCCAGAGACCACCCTGAGTTCAAAGCTAAGAGTTTATCTTCTGTTCTCAATTTTCTTGACTTCTTTGCTGCAGTAGACACAGAGTGGTATCAACTTTCTTCTGAACATTTTTATGTGCCTAACTTCTGTAACAACTCATCCTTCTGGGCTTCTTGTCTCACTTCTTTTCTACCCCATCCATGCCTAACCTCAGTAACTATGGCCCATTACCACAGTCTATTCACGGGGCCCCAGCGTCGTCATCTAGTGCAACAGTGGCAGGTCAGGAGCTTAGAGACCAGGCTTTAGTCCAGGTTCTGCTGCAAATTAGTGAATGACCGTGAGTAGCCACTTAATTCTGTGTACTATACAGTTTTATGTAAAATGAGAAGGTTAAAAAAATTCTTCAGGGCATTTCCCTACACTATTCTTCATTTTCTCCATGAGGAAATTATATGTTTATAATACGATTTCATTTTTTTTTAAGTCCTAGATCCTATTTTTCTAGACCTGATCTCTTTCACTTCCATTGGTCCATATGCCATTTTCATTTAAATGTTCCACTAAATTAAAAACATAAAGATTGCACACTGTTGGTGGCAGAGTATGTTGGAAGCAGCCTTTCGGAAAGCAATTTGGTAATATGTCTCAAGACTCATGAAAGGTATTTTTTGATATGGAAATTCTTCTAGGAATGTATCATTAGGAAATAATTCAAAATATTGTTTCAGCAAAGCCCTAAGAAAGAAAAAGTTCAATGCCACAAAAGAAAATAAAAAGGAATCCAAGTGTCCCAACAGTTAAGATATTATTAGGTATATTACAGTGAATCATTTTGATAAACCAGTAAGCAGCCATTTAAGTGGTATTTATGGTCATTTAGCACCATGAAGAAACATATAATAGTGTGTATCATTTAATGGCAAGTGAAAAGAACAAACAATATATAAATATTAGTATGAAACACATAAATATATTTTAGAGACATGAATAATATTAAATAATGAAATATTTGTTGTTTCCAGGTATTATATTATAAATAAAAGATGTACATTATTTTCTCTGATTTTTCACACTTTCCTTTATATATTTATATTACTAGTTTAACTGGAAAAAAATGTTGACACTAATCTTATTTCTTTAAATAAGGAAATAAAATCTTGCTTCTCTCTGGCTTTTCCATGTCTATCAGTGGCCATAAATCTTCTCGGTTTCTTAGGTGTTCTGACCTGGAGTTCTCAATTTTCTATTTTTCTTTTCCTTTCAACTTTTATATGCCAACAGTCCCTATGTACCAAGGAAATCTTATTCCATGATGGTCTATCCATTCCCTCACTTTCTTCTGCAAATAAGGCTCTCAACTACTCATAGCAGAACACAAATATAAGCCAAATACATTGTGTGTTTTCCACAAGGTTTTCTTCCTCACATATTTCAGAACACTCTCCTCAGATATTTACCATTACTTCCTATTATCTATCAATTGAAAACTTAGGCTCCATGATGGCCTTAATATGTTTCACCATGTAATGACTTTTCAACTCATTAATCTATTTTTCAAATTTGTCAAATCCCCTACTTTGAACAAACAGATTAAATTTCTCCCTGCAAGTTACAACAGAGTAAAGAACACAATATTAGTTTCCAACAAATCCTATCCTAGAAGGGTTTATTATATTCACAGTTTTATTGGCACTGAGGATGGGAAATAATGTCAATAGACAGCAGCATGCCTATAATAAGAGCAAGGCATACCAAATAAACTTAGTTTCCTTTTTTGATATTATAAATTCACAACCTTCCATCAGGTGAAGGATTTTGGCAGGTGTCTGAAAAAGTGTCTCAAAACATCCTGCAGACAAGACTGAGAGAGGTGAGCTAGATGACAATATAATTCAACAGATTAACGAATGCTTGAATAACTTTACTCAAGGAGTCTGGCATAAGATAAAGGTCAACCTGGAAAGAAATTTCTACAGATATGCTGCAGGGATTCCTATCTGCTACTGATCTCCACAACATTTAAAAATATCAAAGACATAAACTAGTTATTTAACTAAAACTATTCTTATCAAGTGTGCCAAATGAAAGAGCTGGAAACGGTAGTCAATACACTACACGGCAGGAAAAACTAAAATGAACTAGAAAACCAGAAATGTCAGGCTGGTATAAATACAGAATGAATCCTTTGTCCAGCTTCTGAAAAACTGCCTGGAAAATGGGTGATTTCAGCTGAGTGTAGGAGAGAGGTTTGGAGCACGAGAGTGGACCACAACCACAGTCTGTGCGGGCCGTGCATGTGGACAGATGGTATCAATGGAGGACAAGTTGCTTGACCAAGGGGATGGCTTCACTGTGTGTTACACATTGACCAAGGTTTGTCAATACTGATTTCGTGTACTCTGGGTCTTTGAAATGCCAGGATGCTGTTAAATAAAATTGTGTAACCAAGAAATGAATTTCTTTGCTACCAAAAAATGTTAAGCTAGGTGGGTTTTTCTCTAACAGTTTGTGCCTTGCTTGCACATCCAATGAACTTTTATGACTAAATAGTTTAAAACATGAAGATAGGATGTTGAAAGTCAGATAAAGGAAGGCAGTCCTGAGTTATGCCCAACAGCTGCTCTGTCCTTTTAATGCTCAAATCAATTGCCCAAAGGAGCAGAAAAAGAACCTTTCAATCTTTCAGTTACATTTTTAGATATCACAGCATTTTACATTCATATCTAGGACAAGAAAGTGCTAAAAGATGGGACCTTTGGCCAGGCACGGTGGCTCACACCTGTAATCCCAGCACTTTGGGAGGCCGAGGCGGGAGGATCACCTGAGCTCAGGAGTTCAAGACCAGCCTGGCCAGCATGGAGAAACACCGTCTCCACTAAAAATACAAAAAATTAGCTGCGTATGGTGATGGGTGTCTGTAACCCCAGCTACTTAGGAGACTGAGTCAGGACAGTCGCTTGAACTTGGGAGGCAGAGGTTGCAGTGAGCCGAGATCGTGCCATTGCACTCCAGCCTGGGCAATAAGAGCGAAACTCAGTCTCAAAAAAGAAAAAAAGATGAGACCTCTGTATGTAAGAAAAGATAATGATCCTAGTCATCATTTATTTTTCTTAACAATTGTTCACAACTTTGACTATGTAAAATGCAATAACTTGATAGCAATTTGCCATTACAGTTCACAAAATATTAAATTTATCAAGTAATTGATTTTAAATACACCATCTGACACTCCTTAAAGATAACTAAGGAAAAAGTATATATATTATCCTGTTTAAACTTCCATCTGCTACAAAAATTGTTAATAGTAAGGATGAATGCAAAGATACTACAGAAGGAACTAAAAGTTCAACATCATTAAATATCTTGATCATTTTTAAAATGAGCTCAGATGAATAAAATACATAGCTATTCTCATAGAATCAAATATTCTAATGGTGGCAGAAAGTCCATAAACAAATAAATATGTTTTAGATGGTGATAAATACTATAGGGAAAATAAGGCAGGACATGGTGGTAGAGAACATGATGGGCAGGGAAAGGTTGCTATTTACAAAGGGTCATCACAGAAGACCTCTCTGATATAGTAACATTTAGTCAGAAACCAGCACGGTATAAAATATCTGGGAAATGCTAAGACATCTATCCAGGAGAGAAGTGCTACAAGAACAGTTGGTGCAGACGCTGTGAGAGAGAAGCACACTTGGCACATCTGAGTAACTGCAAGACAACCAGCCAGTGAGAGGCAGGGAAGGGTCCCATGAAAAGGAAGGAGCCGCGGTGAGGTGAGACAAAGCAACACTGATGGAGCCAGCCCCTATGTCTGTCTCAACACAAGCCAAGAGCAGCTGAGGACTGCCAGTGTATAGCATAGACCATAGCCATGACCATTTTAGTTTATACATTGTACTTAAAGCATGCATTAAAAACTTCTAACACAGACACAGGCTTTTAATCTAAAGCCCACCTATCCTACAGGGAGAAAGAGAAAAAAAACTAGGTTTATATTTTCTGTCACTTAAATATTCATAGAATGTCCTGATTTTGCTTCTTGCTGGATCCTCCAAAAATTTTTGATGCAAATTGCTCCCTATGAAACTGACATACAGTATGAAACCACTTATTACCCTTAAGCCAATTGAATGCTGCAGAGTATATGCAGATATGTTGAGTTTGAGTTTTAAAGTAATCTGGCAATTTTATGGTAGCAGAATCTACTGTCTATCAAGGGTACTATGTGTGTCAACAAAGCTATATCATCAATTTAGAGAGAAGACAACTTATATCTGTTTCCCTGTAGGAGGGGTCATCTAAGACTCTGAAAACTGGTATCAAATCATTTAGACACGAGTGAAAAGAAGGAGGGGTCTGAAAACACATCTCTATTTTATGCCGTAAGAAATGTTCTCTTAAGAGCCTGTGTCACGAGCCTCTGTAATATTCTAATAGATATTAAAACAGAATTTGTAGGATGATCAAATGGCTCCATATTGAGTTCGGAGATCTTAGACCACTAGCAATTCCTCAGAAAAATATTATAATTAAGTAGTAATAAAAACAGCAACTATCATATACACAAGTAAGTAGTAATAAAAACAGCAAATATCATATACGGTTCTTGATCAATTCTGTGCCAAAGTAATAGAGAATATATCAATGGCCAATTATGGACCATATTTGTTTAAAGGCCATCTACACTACACAGAGATTATTAGACTGAGAAAATTAGGCTTTTAATTTCTGTCCAAAAGAAACTGACCTAGAGATTGGTTGTTCAATATTGATTTACAAGTTAAATCATTGGTACAAAAATCTGTAAAACATTAATTTATACATGTAACAATGACATTGAAAAAAACTACTGTGTGAAACAATTACCTGCTCAGCCAATAATGAAGCTAAACTTGAATATGCATCTGCAAACTCCGGACCATATTTAATGGAATCCTTCAGTAAGGTGATAGCTTCTTCCTTTTTCTCCTGAGACCTATAGATAATAACGGAGGGATGGCGGAGAACATCTTTTAATAACACTTTGTTTCAATTCTCTGATTAGACTCTAAATATCTCATTTCTTTTAGCAAAGCTTAGCTGATTCACTCTGGATTTTATTGCAAATGAATTAAAATAGATGGTCTCAGGGTGCTAACAGTTTCTTTCTGTCTCTGAATTCTCCATGGGAAGAGATATAAAGAGGTAAATTACACTTCAGGTTATCCACCGTTTTCTACCTTCTATTTCCTGCTGTGTACTTTTCTTTTCTTTTTCTTTCTTTCTTTCTTTCTTTTTTTTTTTTTTTTTTNTTTTTTTTGAGACAGAGTTTCTCTCTTGTTGCCCAGGCTGGAGTGCAATGGCCAGATGTTGGGTCACTGCAACCTCTGCCTCCCAGGTTCAAGTGATTCTTCTGCTTCAGCCTCCCTAGTAGCTGGGATTACAGGTGCCTGCTACCATGCCCAGCTAATATTTTGTACTTTTAGTAGAGATGGGGTTTCACTATGTTGGCCAGGCTGGTCTCAATCTCCTGACCTCAGGCCATGCACCCGCCTCAGCCTCCCAAAATGCTGGAATTACAGGTGTGAGCCACCTTGCTTGGCTTGCTGTATGCTTTTTGAGAATTATATTCAATATTTTGCAGGTTTATTAGTGAGAACAATTTTGGGGCATTGTCTGGGTGGCATGAGAGCCAGTTTACAGTTATATGAAGATATGTGGATCTCTGTAGTACTGGTCACACCACTGCAGGCTGAGCTCCTAAGGGTGGCTGTACCTACTGGGTACAAATCAGGCCAAACTGCCAATGCTAATATTTGATTTTACATCTAAGAGAGAAAATATTCCATACGTAATTTATGAAATTAGAGATCACTGTGACCACTGGTTGGTAAAGAATAATGAGACATTTTATCACCATATTTTTACTGAAAATTGAAGCTAATTCTGTCTTCCTCATTCAGTTCTTCTCCCAGTGATGATACTTCCTTTTAAAGAGTAATCAAGGCCCAAAAGTCATGACCATTTTATTGGGTTAAAATTCTCTTTCCTGTTAGACAAAGTTCTCTTTCCTGTTAAATCGAATGAGGAGACATTGGGTCATTATCCTGATATCAATGTCTTTGGGACCAAAAATGCACAGTATTGGAAGCGATCGAGTTTGCTATTAATACAATTCCAAAGATACTGGTCTTTCATTAAGTGCTAGACATTGTGATTCTGCAATGAAGAAGGGAATCCTTTGAACTATAGCAAGCACACAGCCTAAAGTTCCCCTCATCTTTAACAGTTACCAATACAGAGTTGTGTGCTTATGTTTTTACTATGTATTGATTTAGCAATGACTATGTACCATATACTCTCATATCTCTTCACATAGCATTTAATGTATTTCTTATAACAATCACATATGATAGATATTATTTTCTATTATTATACTCATTTTTCTAATGAGAAATTTTCGATTCAGGAAAGTCAAGTGACTCATCTGTATTTATAATAAGTATTCTTGAGTGCTCTTCCATCATACCATATCTGCTGATTCTAACTTCTTAGAAATCCACCCCTAATGATCTTTCTACTCAAAGTGTGATTCGTAGACCAGTTTAGACAACATCACCTGAGAGTATGTGAGAAATGCAGAATATCTCAGGCCCCATCCAGAACTACTGACTCTGATCCTACAGTTTCAAAAGATTCCCAAGTGATCTGTATGCATGCTGACATTTCAGTAGAATTGTCCCATTAGGTATCAAAGGCAGCTGACAGTAGCCCCTGACACAATCCTCTCCATCCTCCACATCCCACACCCACAGCTGCAGTTTCTGAGGATTAAGTTATGTAGAGGGAAAACTAATATTCACTCCATAAGTTTGAGTTCTTAGGTGTTAGAAGCAATATAGCAATAAGGTTGCACACGGCAATTTCAACTAGCAGGGAGTTTCCTATTATAGACCTTGGGGAATAAATGCCATGCTTCCAATCTAGATCTTGGATTTAACAATTCAAGTAAGCAAATATTTATCATTATCTATTATATGTCAAGTACTTAGCTGTTTCTCAGGGGAGGTGGCAGTCCACCTTATTAGGGTCTATCTAACTCCTAATGGGCTCTTCTCCATGCAAAGTCCTGTCCTTGAGAACAGGTATAACATCTGTGCCCTTAAGTGGATTGTCCTTGGGATGGTTTTCAAGTTTCATGGTTATAATTAATTTCTTAGTGATTTATTATTGATTCACTCATTTCATTGACAAACATTTAAAGAGTACGTGCAACACTCCATGCAAGTCCACTATGTTTACATAAACTTAAGTTTCTATTCTAAAATATACCTTGATGTAATTCTTCCATTAGCACATGTTTTTTAAATAAAATATGTTTTTGAATCCTACTAATTTGGCTATTAGTTTTATGGTTAGCAGAACTCTTCCTCCAAAAATTCATAAATCTTTAATAACATTAATTTGGAAATCCTCTGAAAGTTCAAAGTAAGATTCAGACTTTGAAAATTAAGGCTGAAAATTAAGTCCCTTGGGACATAATTTAGCTTAGATATTCTTCAAATTGGCAGAGTAAAGGAAAAAAAAAACCCACAACATCTTCATAGCAATGATTTAATCATTTTCATATGTCATGACTCACATCAGTTAGAATAGAAACTTAGATATTTTGCATATGAACTCAGCAAGATGACCACTCAATACAGTCCAAGAACCTAAATGTCTGAGGTTGTCCATGAACATTCATGTGACACAATGGAAAGATTATCATCAAAGTTATTCACCAAGAACCCAAATTCTTGATAAAAAACATCATCTCTAAAAAATCCTGTGACACAATTGCTACAAAGAGAATAAAATACCTAGGAATACAACTAACAAAGAGCGTAAAGGACCTCTTCAAGGAGAACTACAAGCCACTGCTCAATGAAATAAGAGAGTATTTCTTCTATAGTCTCTCTTGCTCACCCCTTGATGGGAGCTTATGGCCCTAGGGAAGCACATGTGGTGCACCTACAGCCGCCTCTTGGGAGCAGGGTCCAGGTCCATCTAACACTGACTGTGCCATGCAGACAAGCTTTTTCAGCTGCATGTTTCACAACAGCTGTTTCCTGAATGTTGACTCTCTGCCAAGGCCCATGCTAAGTAATTTACTCTACTTCTCACTAAGCATTATACATTTGGCATAATTATCTCCCTTTCAAAGATTTAGACAAAAATACCAACCACCATCACCCCAAATTAATAAAAACTAAGTTTTAGAGAGCTCAATTGATTTGTCCCCAATTACACAGCTTCGATAACACCTGGACTCTAATTTAGAATTTCAAATCTAGACTGTTCCATTGAGGCCACACTTAGCATTTCTGTGTTCACTCGCTTAAATGTTATACAATTTGTCTGTGACCACTAGGTTTCAAGTTCCTTCATAGGTGGAACCTACATCTTACTAATCTTAGTTTTTTTTCTTCCTATTCCAGAGACTAGAAAACTGACTTGCACAGAGTAGAAGTTCAGTAATTGCTGCATTCGTTTTATTTTTTAAAATTAAACCAGAGTTTTGCTATTTATTTCTAGATCTTTGTAAATGTCCTTAAACAAGTTTTCCAATATTTGGATAAAATTTGATGACAAAAAGTGACAATATGATTCCGCATGTTATGTTTTTGTTTCCACGGTTCTTCAAGTGTTATAGATGTGATCCTAAGAAAGACAGAGGCAGCCCAAGGCTAACTTAGAATCATAAGCTAATCCCAGCATCCACATACTGAAAATCTATTCCATACCGAGCATACTGCTAAGCAGCCCATCCACCTAATCACTATATGATAGCTAAAAGCACAGACTCAAAAACAAGAAGGACTGGCTTCTGATGCTACATCTACCACTTACTAGCTGTGTTTCCTGAGGCAAATTTTCAGACCCCCATGCATCTCAGGCACATGGTAGGTACTGTTTATGTTTTGGCTTTTATTATTACCTCATTTAATGTTTCTAAAAATCACCCGTTGAAACCTATTCCCTCTATTCTTTTCTTATTAATTTTTAAAACCCAGGAGAATGTGGTGTTTTTGACATAGTCTCTCCTAAATAATATCCTTCTACATTTCAAATTACTCATAAAAAGCTTAGGTTACATCAGAATAATTTTTCTTTGTGTCTGACAAAACAATAGATGTTGTCTAATAATCATCAGACCTAAATTCATATAGCATTGTATTACATATAATTTAGCCATTTAGACCAGATTGACAGGTCAATTTCAAAGGGGAAAAATATTAAAATAAATTTTTTTCTCTGAACTGACCAAGTCCATGGGTTGTTTCTCTGAGTTATATTGAAAGGCCTAAGTTAACTAGCCCATGACTGCTGAAAAATAGATAAAATTGAACATCAGTATATACACCGTGTCCAATCAGGCATAGACACACTTTGATTTTGGAGTCACAGAAAGGAAAACTCTGAATCCTTTTAAGAACTCATATGATACTGAAGACACTAAGAACAACAGGGACTCTCAGAGCGTCTGGTAGGGGGTTCAACTGGCACTGATGGAACTCTTAGGGATCTCTGGATAGGTAAAAAGTGCAGGTAAGCATAAAACTGCCCCAGGATTCAGCATTATCATTGCCCTGCAGCATCTGGGATTTCCTTAGCTGCTAAACAGTGTTACCAGCTGACGACCGATAGTAATCCTCCATGATCTAAAATATTTTGTCTTTACTTCTCCCTTAGACCAATACTTCTGAAATTCTGATGTGTAAGACTCTCCAGGTGTTTGGTAAAATGCAGAATGCCAGGACTGATAAGATTGAGCGGGTCTGGGTGTGGCCCAGGAATCATTAGGATTCTAAGCCTCTCAGGTGAGTCTGCTTAGCATGGACGTTATAGCCCATGCTTTAAGAAACTCTGCCCTGGTTTGCATGTAGGATTTGCCTGATCAATTGAACTGAATAGGAGACTAAATATAACAGGACGCTGAAAGCTAAAAAAAAA